GAAAAGAGAAGGAGCGCATATGCATGGAAATTGCGCGGACCCCCGAAAACTTACTTTCGACATCCTAGACCTGGGTCTGGTCTGTATGGGGATAGCCTCCGTGATAGTTATTAAGCAATTTACGATACTTTGAATGAGAAATGATGCACGGGTACGGAAGCGTGATCTGTATCCGGAGTCGAGGAGAAAGAGTTACGACACGGACATACATATCTCGGCGTGCCAGTCTTACAGGACGCGGTAAGGCAAGGAACCTTGTACTAGGATACACGGCCTGGAAGTGCATCACTTTTAACTCCGGAGTACATGCTGTTGTAATAGGAGTTGACGATGCAGCGCGCCTACCTTACTCAGTCAACAGCCTAATCTACATTGAAGGAGCGGAACTTTTACCCGTCACCAATACTGCGCAGAAGAGAATATTCCGCGGAAGGAACAATTGGCAAGGGCAAATGGTCCAGCAATGGAGTTCGGGTACGCTACCAGCATCACCAGCACCAGGAAACAGCGACAGTATCACTGACGAGGGCACCTCACACAAGAACGGAGATGCCGAGTCAGAATGCATGTCCCCAACGCCTTCAACGCATGCCATGAATAGAAGTTATACCCCCGGCGATGATAACGTCAAACGCTGCGATGTGGGACCCTCCCCTTCCGGGATCGCAAAGACTCTCCGTTCTCCGTTCGGTAATTAAGCGAAAAACGGATGTCCCGACGCGTGAGTTTTTCGCTTTCGCATTGGCATTCCGCGAGTTCAATGTGGATATGCTTGGCATGGTGGTTGGGTATATGTGAGGTCGTGAAGTGTCATGTGTCAAAACACCGAGGAGAGCAGACCTCAAGCGAGTGGATACAAGGGGCGTGGTTGGCTTGCGCGCATGTGATGCGATGTGATGCGTGACGCGGACGAAATGCCCGGTAAAAGACGTCACAGAGCGACTCGTTGCGCTCGCTTATGCCGGTCATGATGCCTGTGAGTCGGCCTCTCGCTCGGTGTAATGAAGTCAGGCTGAGATCGCGAAGAATGCTGCGTGACACTTCAGCTGGGGGTATTCGCCTCAGTTGCTTGGGGCAAAATCTTCGAGGCACAAGCTGATGGGGTTGGCGATGCGCGTTTCAGGTCAGCGATGCGCGTTTACGGCTCGCATGATTCGTGGAGCGCGTTGTATGATGGTTTGACAGCGGACAGCTTGGTCGCTACTGCGAGACAGGCTGTGGGTCGTTGGACCTGCTGCTGTGGTAGCTGTAGCAGAGGTTGACCGATTCAGCAGCGACATTTGCTTGCGCTGTAACAGCCACGCAACGATTATACCCACACTACGTGCCGTGTGTCCTATGACTATTGCATGTCACCATGATAGTCCAAATCTGCAGTTGTTCAAGATATGCAGTAGTGATCAACCTCAACCCCAGCCCCTTGTAAATCGAATGGAGACCTCTTCCGGCTTGCATCATGTCAAAGTTGGAAGGGTCCATAGATGGCGTAATTGATTCTGGCAGAACCACACACTATCGTTGTTGAGAAGTGAGATGGCGCGCTTAGGAAGGATTGGGAATCTTCATGGAGCACTGATACGGCTGCGGAGAGCCGCCCCACACGAATACAAGCAGTGTGTTGAGCTGGGAACCTGGCGCATAGTCATTACACGGTGAACCACAAAGTGCTGGGTGCGATCCTAGGGTCACTCAATGCTGAAAGGCCGGGCGCAAAAGGAAAAGGGTTACAATGTCCTTCCCACGTGAATTGACTTGGGTGTAGTGTAAGCGGGGAGGCGGGACAACCTAGCGCGACCTGTTTCTCAGATGTGCTACGGTTACTCGGCAACGGTCGACGCCTCACGGATGGTTGCTCCGGGGCGTTCTGGCCAATAACGCAGTTTGGAGCGGGGTTTCGAGTAAGAGACCCTCATTCCGGAGCTTGCTCCTCGCTTCTGGAGGGGTCTATTTCATCCTTGATAGACCCTTGTAATCAATGGTTCGAGTTATGTGAGCTCGAGACGGCATATGTGGAATTGAGAGGCGTAAAAACTAATGTCAGCATGAGTCTGGCGTTTGCGCTTTGCCGTAGTTCGAACGTGGAAGTGAGAGCGACTAGACTTTCCTAAGGTCGGCTATCAGCCTACGAGAACACGGCTCTTTCGACACCGAATATATTCGGAACCAGTGGCGCCACGGGACGACTGATATCAAACCGCATCGCTTAACGGCTTTACGTGACGTATACTTGTGTTTTAGATCGCCTAGGCTTGATCGCCAATATGGATTCATGTTTTCCATGTCGTACATGCCGTGTATCCTTGCAAGTAAGGCGGGGCCATTCGTAACAAAACGGCGTACATGATGTGGAGCTGACGATGGACTATCAAGGGGTCCGGGTTGTAACCAGGAACCTGTCCCGAGACGTACTGGAGGATCTGGGCATGACTTCACTGGGTAGGAACATGTTTCCCTCTTCGCATGTAGCCAGGGTGTTTCCATTTACGGCGACAGGCATTTGGCAAGGGAAGCGGATGTGCATGCCGCGCTAGGCTTCTCACAGTTCTGCTTGATATTATGCTAGAGAGAGTGCATTAACCGACGAACATACCCTAGGCTGGATAAACGGGAGTGATGGAGCGCCGTCTATGGGTTCTTGGTCACGATTTCGTTGAACGCTTACAGTTTGGAGTAGCGCCAACCGTAAAAACGCTGCTCGGAAAATAGTCCAGCAGCTCTCATTCGACGCATGGCAGACGGCATACTAACGAATACTGAGTGGGGTATGTAGCTGCCAAGAATAGAGAATTCAGATCCATGGGAAATCGGTACTTAGACGGATGTAAGGTGGGGTGCGCTTCTTTTGCGACAATGGGTTCACGATGGTATTGGCACCCAAACAGTTCGCAGTGACTATCAGTAGAGATGGGCAAGACGGCGCGAAACAGCTGTTTGGGTCACATCAAAAGAAAGCAGCGAGATGCGGATGCAATCTGACATGCCAGACGTGTTGATCCTGTGGAGAACTGAGGCCGCCGGGCGTTGAGAGCTTTCGCGCTTGTGAAGGCGCCATCGACTCGTCTGCAGGGTCTTTCAGCGGGCGATTCGTCCAGCACCAATGGCAGTTGGGGCATGCAGAGGGACAGTAGACAAAGAAGATGGCGCGAGCAAAACAGGCGACGAAGAAGCAATTTGACTTTGGCCGAGTACTGGCAGGGCTTCTTGAGTTCCCAGATTAACGAGGAAAAAGCAGCAGCGGCAGGGGCCAAGTGCGCGGTACCATGGAACATTTCAGGAGGATCTATAGCTGAAGACGAGGCTGGCATTGGTCAAGATCGCATCTCATCTCTCAGATGTTGGGCGGGACGATCACAAAGCACCGGGCCAGTCCACGTGGCTGCGTGGCGCCCCTGCTCACGACAGCATCGAGCAAAAGAATGGGCATCGCGACTCCAAAGTCGGTGAGACATTGGACGTGGTATCGGCAGGAGGGTGCAGCAGTCACGGCAGGGGACCCCTTATGCTACCGGCTGATAAATTTGCGCGGGCGTAGCAACATCGGATTTGGCCATCGTGAGATTCCCGATAAGGCAGGGCGGCAGTGGGGATCGGTGCCGAATGCGAGGCGTAAGGCATGGGGCTTGAGTGACATCAGCGTTTGTAAGAGAAGATTAACGCCGGGTCAGGCGGCGGCAGGAAGGGGGACTTGGGCGGGCCCTGCATAAAACAGCGATGGGAAAAGACTTCGCGAGGGTGGCAGAGATCGTGATTCGGGCAGCCTTGGAGGGGACAAAAGGACCGGATGGGTGGTGGCCGCGCAAAGTGAAAAGAAACGAAGCAGGCTAGAGCAGGGAGATCACGTCGATGTGGTGCAAAATCTCGATGGAGGGGTTCGGTCAGTGCTGCGCGGCTGCCGTTTCGAGGACGGCGTGCAAGGTCAAGAGTCTGGCCAGAGGAGTCTATGGGGCTTTTGCCGCTAAAAAGAGCGCCAGGGGCTGTGGCTGAAGACGAGCGACGGCGGCAGCCCGACGTCATCTTTTCGTCTTGAATCGAGATCCCCACCAGATGTCCCGATCACTGCGCAACGTCCAGCGGGGCGCTAGGCTGCGAGCGGATAGGTCGGAACGGTTGGCAGGGATGCGTGGGCGGAGAAGACCCTGATTTTGTATTACATCAGACCCAGCGACGTTATGCCGGCGCGTTGTTTTTCGAGTACCGAATGCGCTCGAGAATGCAGACCCTGGGGCGCTGAGAGGAAGTAAGCTGGTATGACAGGCTGCATATGGGGCGTCTGTAGCATCCTGACGGTCTTGGTACGACTTGTCGCATGTCGCTGCGACAGTCGCACTGTGTAGTTCTGTGGTGTCTGTGGTATCGAGTGCGATCTGTAGTGTCGAGTGCAATGTGACCGATGCGATACATGATTCCGATGCGCGTCCCCCCAAACAAAACAACTGACTCTTTGACGCCGACACGCACCGGCACCAGGCCGGCGGAGGGTGCGGGTGTGAGCTGGCACAGGGCCTGTTTCTTGCCATTGGCGCCCGAAGGTCGCAGAGTTCCTTGAAACTGCACTCGGGATCTCGATCTCTCCTGAGCAGACGGCACCTGTCCGCCGCAGTAGCATTGGCCGGCGCTGCGTCCTACCGACGGGCAATCTGCCATGGCTTTCTTTTTCTGCACTACCCATGTCGATTGCAGGACCGCTCAACCTTCGTCCCAGCAACCCAGCAGCATGCTCCGCGGTCTATCTGACTGAGTTCCACGGTGTCATGCGCTGATGCCGCTTCCTGGTCGGTCGCTCTTTCCTAGTGCGCGTCGCCTCGCGAGCTGATCGCCGGCAGCCGGGGCCCCTGCCACTGCCTGGCGCTAGCGTCTTAGGGCGGACTGCACTTTCCCATCCCCACGCATGCAATTCTCAGTCCCTGATAGTGCCCTGATCCTGGGACCAGCGAACCCTGTGCTTCTGCCCTGCTTGTGCCTTGCCCAATATAACTTGCTCCCAGTCCCGCATCTGTCGTGTGGTGCTCCAGTAAGCTCTCTCCCAATTCACTCACCACGCCCGCTCCCCACCACAAACACCTGTCTCATTGTCGAGTCGACGTCACGTCGCCTGCCTCCCACATCACCCTCACATCACGCTGTATAAAGCGCCTCAACCACCCGGCCACCACTTTCACGTGCAGCCCATCGCTCTCTCTGCGAATTTGGTCGCTCCCCCACTGGCACGTGTTTGCTCAAAATGGACGCCTTGTCCGGCAAGAATTCGACAGGTCGCAGAGTGTCATTGCTAAACGACGGCCCGGCGCCTCCTCCTCAACTTGTCCGACTCCCCTCCATCACTCCTTCTCTCCAATCCCGGACCTCGAGTTACTCCTCCTCACCTCTTCCTTCACCTCCACGCCTGGTCCGCAGCGATTCTTCCGACTCGACCATGCAGACGCCTTCGCCCATCACGCCTGACTTCTCCTACGAGCCCGGCATGGACTCGCCTGTCTTCGCGCAAAATGGCTTCTTCGTCGACCAGAAGTTCGGCGTCCCCATGCATCAATCATCCGGTCCTCTTCCTTACCACACCAACCCTGCCCAGGCTGCCTACTTCAGGCCGGAACACATGTCTGAGCACCCTGATCAAGCGGCGCTGAACGCCCGCCCCAAGAAGAACAGCTACCCGTGCCCCATGGCCAAGCAGTTCGGCTGCAACGACTTCTTCACCACCTCTGGCCACGCCGCTCGTCACGCCAAGAAGCACACCGGCAAGAAGGACGCCTTCTGCCCCGAGTGCAACAAGGCCTTCACACGCAAGGACAACATGGAGCAACATCGCCGCACCCACCAAAGCGGCCGCAACGCAGCCAAGGGCGGCGAACGCGACGTCAAGAAGGCAAAACACCAGGCTAAGCGACCCAAACCGGCACCCCTGCAGTCGTCGACGATGCCTTCTTTGTCACAGCTTTCCATGGTCGACCCGTCGCTTCCCCTCAGCCCGTCCGGGTTTTCCATGGCCCCCGCTGTTCAGTCCACCGACTCCTTCCTTGAGTTCCCGCAAAGCTCTCGGTACCCCGACCCGACTGCTTACAGCTACAACCCCGCTCCCGCTCAGTATGGTGGTCTTGACGCACTTGCCATCGCAGCGAGTGGTGAAAAGCGCAAGTTTGAGTCATAGTCGCTCATCTCATCTCTCCTTCACCGTTCATCTGATCACATCTCTGATCATCTCTTCGGTCTGACACGTTAGACCACCGGATTTCTGGAGCGAGGCGCTTAGGGCTACGACCACGATATCATGGAGTTCAAAAGTCCGTCGGAACAATAGACGCATGCCGTCATGGCTACGAACGGAACTTGGCGTTTGGGAGCAGTGCGCATCGACGCACGCATTTCTTTTTCTTTCATTGTATATACTACGGCTCCAATTACTTTGGTACTTGGCCGCGCACAGTCTGTGTCCTTCTCAGCGGTCTTTCCGCTAGCATCCTCATGTTGGGCAGAGTACTTGGAGGATGTCATTCAAAGATAGGGATTAGGGCTTGGAATAGGCAACATGGATACCCGCCCTTACTCAAGGGGCATCAACCTTTGATTTCTCATAGTTCAAATATATCACGGATGTCCACGGAGTAATGCCGTGGCTTCCGAAAGAAAACAATACAAATAATCACTACGAACATACCCTCCACCAATCTGTGTTGTGACCAGCGCTCGGGTGATCTCAACAGCCTGCCTGTACCATGGGCTGTTTGGGACAACCGATCACGAACCTTACAAATAGCATTCACTTGCAGTTTTCATCTGCAATGGTGACGATAAGAAACGGCCGCGAACTGCGGATTGGTACCCCGCTGTCAGCTCATAGTTCGTACCAAACGCACTATTGCCCGCTTCTCAACCATGGCACGCCAACATGCTCAGCCATACTGACATAGCGGGCGCGCCTCCGCGCTAGAATCTTTACCCCTCCAAAGCTTATCCCGAAGTCTCGTCCCATCAGCACGCCACAGCGCTCTCACTCCGCCGCGCCTAGAGTCAGCCCATGTCGTCCAACGGTCTCGTCCCTCAACCCTTTGGCAGTAACGATATCATCGGTAGAACCTGGCGCTAACGACCCACTAATAAAAGGCCTTTCACAACGCTGATGACCCTGCAGATCTTTTTTGAGGTTAGCTCTGAACCTTAGCGATCTGCACAAGAACCCTCAGGTCCGGGAATCCCGATTCGGAAGGCCACCGCTCCAGTACGTGTCATTGGCTCGAAATCGTAACAGGGCAAACTCTATCCAAACAACAGGTCGCTTTCCGGGGACACGATTCCCCAACATCATCCTAGGAGTTATTTCCTTGGCTTCGAGGGCGCCTCTTCGACTCGTCAGCCACGATACGTGTCGCAAGGCATCCAGCGTCGGTTGCACTGTAAGTGGCGCGCCCTGGGTTACGAGTTCCGCCTTGGGAGGACCCCACATCCGACTTGACGCCGGATCGCGGATTTCATGCCCTGCACCTTTGTCTCGGCTCACTTTCCAACGCTCTCTGCTTTTGCATCGCAATCTGTGCCCATCGTGGAAATGCTGTCCCCACGGATGAACTGGGGGTGACATCATATGTGCATCAACAACAGCAATACTCTGCTTTTTGCGTCGTTCCATGTTTCGCGCGCAGTTGCAGCAATCGTTCGGTCGTACATTACGGAAGTTTGCGGATCGGCAGCAAGTAAGCAAGCAAACTGCGCTGCGACGACAGGGTGCATCTTTCTCAACCAGCATGCACATGCAACATGCAAGCCAACAAAAAAGCGAAAAGAAATTGGGTTTTCCCCCTCTTCCCCAACGACGATCTCCAGGCGCGCGTGGGTGGCTGGGCGTCGGTCATTCCGCGTTTACTAAACCCGACACGGGATCTTCGGATATAATAGCAACGCTGCGAACGTAGAAACTTTGGGACCGTGACGCTGTGTCACGATCAGGCTTCCGCTGTCTTGCTGGTACAGTCTATCTGTGGCCCTGCCGCGGCTACGCGGACCAACTTACTGGTCCCCCGATATGCTATGGAGTATGTACGTTTTCCTTTTCTTTTTTATTAATCTGGAGAAGATAAGGTTTCTCGCGATGTGACCTCGAGCATCTTCTGAAGGAGGTGGTTAGTGGAAACGCTACGGCTATACAAGACGCAGTAACAACAAGGTTTGTGATTGTAGTCATCGATATCTCGGTTTCTACTCAGACTATCAGCCTCTTTGTTCCAGTTCTGCCTGATCTCATTTTCGTTGACGGGCAAAATTGCCGTTGGCAATGCGTCCATGCATGTCAGACTAGTCATTCCACCTCATGCCACTGCGGCTTTCATGTCTCATTTCGAGGATCAAAAGTTGTATGCGGTGGTTGCGTATGGTTGTACGGTAGCCACGCATTCGCTAAACACAACATACTGCATAGTCGTACCACTCGGCTCGCTACACCCAACACTCCTCAGTATACCTTTATAGCAGTTCCCCATGTCTCTCCCTTACTCAGGTACACTCACAACAGCACGCCTCCAAGCCCTCGTCCCGTTCTGTACAACATTGGACGCGAGCTGCGAGGGTTGAGACTGGTCCCACTGCGGGGGGTCGCTGTTGTGATACGTTCGTTTATCTGCCTTCTGATCCCGAGATGATCGAGACAGCGTGGGCTGGCTCGAGTAGGCGAGTTTGCGCGGGATGTGAGATGCACGGCCGGGTCTTTCGATGTCGTGCATCTTGTACGATGATGGATGTGCAGGTCGCGATTTGCTGTATATATGGTAAGGGTGTTGGCGAGCTTGCCGCGTTCCCCGTTCCCTGCTCCCTTGCTCGGGGGAGGTAGGGTGGACTATTGTTGGTACAAGGGCTTGCAGGGTAAGTAGGGTGATGTGGAGCTGGCCTGGACGATGTGTTCGTTTCCGTTCTTTACCGCGAGAGGGAGAGGTGGACAGGGCCACTGCCGTCGAGTCCTTCTTGCGACTCCGCAGAATCCAGAGCGATACTAACAGTCCCCATTCCACATTTCTCAACTTTTCAGGCTTGTACAGTGATATCACAAGCTGCGGCGGAACCCTGAACCTTCTGGTCTGCACAACGTCACACCAGATGAACGCCATGTGCTTAGGTCGCACCCAGAAAGCGGGCGCGAGGGACTGCCGCTTTGTCCTACGTCGTGCAGTCTCACAACACGAGAAGACCATCTTACTTTCATAGCTCTGTGTAGAACTCCACTCGCACCACACTGTGGAAGACATATAGTTGGTCCTTGGTCAAGAAGACCTGTTAGAACCAAGCTCAGATGGGTTTCCGGTTTAACGAGTAGTCAAGAGCATACACCTTTTTATGGGCAAAGGTATTCTTTAATTGCACGTCGACGCACTCATGAGATGCACTTCAATCCCATGGAAACTTTACACAAAGCAAAAGAAGCCTATCATACCACAACATGTTATCCCACCTCCACCCCGTCATAAGTCCCTTCCCTCTAGCAACAACCTCTCGCTCCGTACCACAACCCAAGATAAACCAAGACAAACGTAATGCACCCACCGACCTGTCATTCCTAACTCGATCTTACAACCTGCACGCATCCTGCAAGCCACCAACCGTGTAAGTTTGCGACTCAGTGCCTTGAGGTCGTGTCACTATGGCTGATACACCAGTGTGCCTTCATGTAGGAGTAGAATGTGTTGCGCTTAGGCGAATGGGAAGATACGACATGCATGGCGAAGGCGATATGTTCTACATGTATAAAGGGTGGAGCTTTTAACCACCGGGGTTGTAGGGAGTGAGGTGGTGAGATGCGAAGTGGGCCTGTACTATGGTGCTTCTTGTCCATATCAAAGTCTCGAGCTGTAGAATTACGATGATGGAAATGGAGAGATTGATGTGAGCATTAATAGAAAATGAGGCATTACTGCTGGAAGCGAACATGCTCTTAAAGCTCACATGTGTTTCCAGTTTTAAGTCGTTCAATTTTTTCATCTTTTTCCGCTTCCGTATTAGAATTCAGCAAAAGTTCACTCCGAATTCTACACCATGAACTATACGCGGTGTTCAAGACCCTTCGTCCCAAGTCTATGCGCACAAAACCCGGTCAAACCACCCAGACTCGCCATGACCGAGCACCAAGAATCACACGAGAAGTTATCTCGCCAGTGAAAAGGATATGCAGAATAAACTTTGAAAATGTCTTACACACTGCACATGCACATGCACGAAGCTGACAACTGACAGGTGTAACTGCGACAACTTAGATTATCGTTTCGCTACCCTTCTTCCACTGCCCTGCATGCACGCCGTGTAACATTCGCTTCCGAGACCCTTCTCTTCCAGACAAGAAAGAAGCGTGTTCCCGCCCTTGTAACCAAGACATATGTAACAGCGCAAGGTTATGATGAAGCCACAATAGTAGGAAGCAGGTAAAGACGAAACAAGCCGCTCGTGCGTGGGTAGAAGACTACTTTAGCATCGAGAGCATGGGTGTGAAAAGGGTTCAGTACGCGTGCGTGTGTTACTAGTGTTGATGCAAAACACTGACACGGCAGTCTCGCTGCGGCCCGTCAACGATGCACGTCGCCCGTAACTTTCTCAACAGCATATGTCTTCATGGCCGCATGTGTGAGTGCCTGCAGCTAGTTCCGACCACGAACCAGGAATTCAGAGGCGAGACTGCCTATCGTGCAATGTCAAAGCCCAACCATTATCATCGCTTGAGTCAGGTGTCTTTGCGAGATGGGTGCTGCGTCTCTCATGTGAACTTCGCCATGTTTACATATCGTGCGAAGCTGTGGTCCTCGTTCTGGTCGACACCGCGATCGTTGACTGCCTGTCTGTATCGCTCTTTTAGGCCGTTTTCCGGATCATCGGAATCCATCTCGTCCTCATAGTCTAGGTCTTCATCCATCATCCCGGCTTCGTCGGAGTTTTCTGCATCGCTGACGGTCTCGGGCTCTTCTTTTCGCGGCTTGCTCTTTGGTTTTGCGCCTGCGCCACCCACCTTCATGTCCTTCATCATCTTGTCCAACTCTCGCTCACGTGTCGCTTTCTTCTCTTGCTCCCGTTCTGCCCTCCGTCGCTCAAGCTCGGGCTTGTAGTCGCGCTCAAACTCTTCCTTCTTTTCCTGGACGCCCTTGAAGAACTCGTCCATGCCATCTCCGGTCATAGCACTGACACCCACAACACTGAGGTGTTTGTAAAATTCCTCCAATACCAGTGACATGCTGTTCAACAGGCTGCCCATGTATCCACTTCCTCCACCCATGCCTTCACCACCAAAGCTGCCACCCTCTTCCTCGTTACGTAAGGCGGTTTGGAAGGCCTCGAAGTCGGTCATCCAATCCTTCGCGAACTGGGCGTCTTGCGCGTCCGTTTTGTTGAAGACGAGTATCATGGGCAGTTTGGTCTTGTAGAGAATTGAGCAGGCGTAGAGCATGTTCGACATGAAGGTGCTTGTGCTAGTTGTGCGCGGTGTATCGATGATGTATGCGATGACGGTGGGAAATGTGCTGGCTAAACTCGAAAGCAGAATCTCTCCACTTGCCGACCAGACAAAGACCTCAATCTGCCCTGGCGTGTCCACGAGGATGTGTTTGACCTGCGGTTGTTGTGCTGGTGCTGTCTGCTTGTCCTTACCCCCACTTGTCATGAACTCGACCGTGCTTTGCTCTGGCTCCTTCACTGGCGCTGGCGGCTGCGTTCGCTTTTCTAACAGACCAATGACCTGATCAATCTTTGTGCTAAACAAGTTCAAACTTGTCAAGATACCGCCGTTGGGTCCTAGGTTGAACTGCTTCATGACCTCCTTGTAGTTGACACTGTCTCGAATGTCGATGTTGGGCGTGAACGGGACATGGTGGACGGCAGGGTCAAGATTGATGATGTACGGGGGTGTCGGGGACGCTTTGGAGACGGAGGGTTCGCTTTGAGTCGGGTCGGGATGAGTGTAGAGATGTGAAACGAGGCGCTGCATGAAAGTCGTCTTGCCGCTACCGGCCATGCCCACGCAGACAATCGAAACGGGCGTGTTGGAACTCGCGGCAGGCGCAGAGCCCTCGGGAGCCTTTGCGGAGGACATTGCGGAAGCCGTATGCGTATTCTCGAGATGGGAAGGAATGAATGCGGGGGTTTGAAGGCTTAGACGTGGATTTACAGCAGTGTATCGAGAGAAAACGCGTGACACTTTGTAACGAGGGTCAGGTAAAGCAGTGTTGTTGACGGCGGGATGTAGAGGAGTTGTTCTAGAAATTCTTAGGCGGGGCGGACGCGCGCTAGGGAATCCGCCGCGGTGATGTCAGGCCCGAGCTTCGAATCCGTCTCCAAACTTTCCTCTCGCGACAAGCCTATCAACACCAATCGACTTAATATCACCGCCAACATGGGCCTGGAGGATTTTGAGAAGGAACTCGCGCAGAGCAAGAAGAAGGACGACAAGAAGAGACGCGATCGAAGCAGAAGTCGCGACAAACATCACAAGCACCGCTCATCGCGCCATCACGACGACGACCGGGACGAGCGCCACCGTCACAAGCGATCCCGACACCACCGTGAAAGCTCAGAAGAGCGTGCGCGGAGGAAAAGGCGTGAAAGAGACGACAAAGATGATCGGTCGCGACGGAAGCACAAGGAACCTGCATCGAGCGACGACGAAGATCGGTTAACGCGAAAGCGCAAGTCGCGACACTATGAGGAAGACGAGTCGTCGGGAGACGACACTCCCCAGGAGAAGGACTACGCGCCACCAGACGACGAAATCCTCGACCAACAGCTCGAAGACGCGGCGAACGCAGACCTGCAACGCGACGACTGGATGAAGGCGCCTTCTTCCATGGACGTCGAATACGTGCAGCGCAAGAATAGGGAGGAGAAGGCTACATATGTGAAGGCGTCTGATGAGGGTCAACCTGCGCTTAAGATGCACCACGCGGAGCTGAACCGTCATTTGGCGGACTCCAAGGACCAAGAAGCCGTCGCTGAAGAACCCGCGCAAAGAGAAGTCAGCTACACATTCGGTGACTCAGGCGCACAATGGCGCATGACGAAACTGAAGGGCATATACCGAAACGCAGAGGAGTCCGGACGAAGTGTGGAAGAGATAGCCATGGAGAAATATGGCGATCTACGGGACTTTGATGAGGCACGCGAGGAAGAGATTGAGCTGGACCGCAGAAAAATGTATGGGCAAGACTATGTCGGAAAAGAGAAGCCATCTGGCGAGCTCTTCGAAGAACGTAGAATCAACGCAGGCATTCACAGGCCGTCCCGCGAGTTACATGAACCCTCAGAGCTACCCCAAGGCGAAATGGTGCAAGATTCGCAACCGGCAACGAACACTGTCATGCTCAGCCAGACCGAGCTGAACAGGCTTAAAGCGCAGATGATGAAGGCAAAGATGAAGAAGGCCCCCGAAGCAGCCCAATTGGAAGCCGAATACAACGCGGCCCTAGCAGGCAACTCAACCTCCACGGACCGTGACGTCGTCGTCCTAAACGCAATGGACAACCGCATGCTCGCCGGCGGCCGACAAGGCGAAGTCATCGCCCTAACCAACAAACGCGGCACCGAGCGCGGCCTCGTCAAAGAAAACGAAGAAATGACCATCGACGACATGGTCCGACAAGAACGGCGCACCAAGAACCAAGCGGGCGGCGAAGGCGCCCTGCTCGCTGAAAAGATAGCCAAAGACAGCAAATTCGACAACGATCTCGACTACATCGACGACAACGCGACCAAACTCGCCGCGCGCGCCCCCAAATCCTCCATCAACCTCCGCAACGCCGCAATCCAAGACTACACGAAAATGAACCGCATCCTCGACGCCTGCCCCCTCTGCCACCACGAAGACAAATCCCCGCCTCAACCCCCCATCGCCCCCATCATCAGCCTCGCAACACGCGTCTTTCTGACCTTGCCCACCGAACCTGAAATCAGCACAGGCGGCGCCGTCATAGTCCCCATCCAGCACCGCACCAACCTCCTTGAATGCGACGATGACGAGTGGGACGAAATACGCAATTTCATGAAGTGCCTCACACGCATGTACCACGACCAAGGCCGCGACGTCGTCTTCTACGAAAACGCCGCGTTTCCCGGTCGCAAAGGGCATGCGGCGCTCAACGCCGTGCCTATTCCCTACGAACTAGGCGACACAGCGCCTGCGTTTTTCAAAGAAGCAATCCTCGAATCTGCGAGCGATTGGACGCAGCATAAACCGCTTATTGATACGCAGAAGGCGAGTCGGAACGGGCTTGGGAAGCAGGCGTTCCGCCGCAGTCTGGCGAAGGAGATGCCGTATTTTCATGTCTGGTTCGAGCTCGATGGCGGGTTGGGGCATATTGTTGAGGATGAGAGGGCGTGGCCGAGGGGCGATTTGTTTGCGAGAGAGGTGTTGGGGGGTATGTTGGATGTGGGTGTTGAGGTTGTGAAGAGGCAGGGGAGATGGGTGAAGGGGGATCGGAGGGTGGAAGCGTGGAGGAAGGGATGGAGGAAGTTTGATTGGACGAGGGTGCTTACTGAAGGTCAGTAAACGGACTTGGTTGTCTGTCTACTTGAGGTGCGATTATGGTAGAGGTGGAGTGTGTTCTCAAATCGAAGGCATTTGTTTCGTCTATCCTGTAATGTCGATTGCCCATGCAAAATCATTATCGCTTGCCCGCTCCACAAACCCTCATCACACACTACTACACTACACTACACCGATCCAACCCCCTCGAGCCGAAAATATCCATGCGTGATTATACCTTTCTCCCGTCCATTCACCCAAGAGATTATTACGCTTAGCACGCTGCGCTTTTCATGCTAATAACATACGTGCTGGTGCATTACTACCCCTCACCTCCCACCGCCCCTTCGTCGCCAAGGCAGGTTGTTGAGCACGCTAACCACACAAAAGCAAAAGGAACAACCCATTTTCCCAAACGAAAGCCTAGGGTATCAGAAGTGTAAGGCAAGGCAAGCTCTAGGCGAAATCAGCCGAGTACGAGAAGCCACGGAATTCTTCCTGCATGGCTTGTGAAAGCACTGGATGTGTTGTTAGCAAAAGCAAAAGCACATGTATACATGGTGGGATAACGTACCAGACTGCACAGGCGTAAGCACAGGTGTGACACTTGTAAACTCGGTGTCGAAGTTGCTAGTATCCGTTGGGCTCGTAATCTGTGGCGTAAATGGCGGTTGCACTCGCTTGTGGTAGATGTCGTCCCAGTTGATGTTCCTGAAGAAAGCATGTGACATGATTTCTTGGGCGTCAGTCGGTCCGGATCCAAGGCGCATCTCAGGCTCCCGGGTGAGCAGTTTCTGGAGAATAGATACCGAGTCGCGCGGCATGTGAATGGGGTAGAGGGGTTCGTCGGCAAGAATGGCGTCGTAGATTTCGTCTTCGTCTTCACCACGGAAGGGTGACTGCTGGAGAAGCATCTGGTAAATGAGCACACCAAAGGCCCACCAGTCAACGGCACGGCCATACTTCTTGTCAAGAAGAATCTACAAACTTGTGTTAGTCACTTGACTTTGTGATGATGGACGAGACTTACCTCTGGTGCCATGAATTCGGGAGTACCACAGAAAGTGCTGGTAGTTGATCCATACCACATCTCTTCCTTGCACAACCCGTAATCACCAATCTTGATGTGTCCATCTAGCGTGAGCAGAATGTTATCCAATTTCAGATCTCGGTAGATGACGCCGTTCTCGTGGAAGTACTTCAGTGCAAGGCAGACCTCGGCAGCATAGAACCTGTAAAGATGTTAGTGATTGTCTTTTTGATGATGATGTGGGACCGTACTGTGCGCGCTTCGTGCCGAACTGGCCTCTCTGAATGTGCAACATCAAATCACCACCACTAATGTACTCCATGACGAAGTACACACGGGTCTCGGTCTGGAAACAAGCATGCAAACTCAGTAGGAACGGATGTCTCTCCTTGTTCGCGATCAAGAAGACTCGCTTCTCTGAACGTGTGCTTTCCACTTCGTCGTTCTCGATGATGAACTCTTTCTTCAGAACCTTGATAGCGTAAAGCTGCTTGGTGCTCTTCGTCTCTGCCAACATGACCTTTCCGAAGTTACCCTTACCAAGGACTGCAAGGAAGTTGAAGTGATCCAAACCTATCCTCTTGCCAGTTCCTTGTGTGTTCGCTGCCGGTGTGACCTTCTTGCCTGGTGCCTCTATTACCGCCGACGGGGGTTGTTTCGCGGGCGCGGATGGTTCTTGCATCTTCGGTTGGGAAGGAGGCGCTTGTTGCTGGTGCGGGGGTTGCGCTTGTGGCGATGGCTGTGGTAGAGCGTATGAAGACTTCTGTGGGTAGTTGGGCATCGGTGCGGGCTGTTGATGGCTCGGTGGGTAGCTCGGGATGTTGGCATATGCCGATGGATCGTAGGCGGCCGATTGAGGAGCTTGCTGTTGTGGTATGCGTTGATCTGCTGGGTATCCACTACCTGACGTCCTTCCGCCCTGTGGCGCATAGTCCGTGTTACTGCGGCCATAGGCAGGTTGAGCTGTGGTTTTGTTCATCGCAGCTGCAGCCGCAGCGACCGAAGATTGGGTGCGTGGTCCTGATGAAGGTCTTGACCCTGCAGTAGGCGACGTGGGAGCGGCGCCAGAGCTGGATCCGGAGAAAGAGGCTCTTGCCGCATCGATTGACGCTGCTGATGTAGCGTATGATTGCTGTCGTGGAGGACCAGGTGGAGGACTCATCTGCTCTTTGCCGTAAGAGTATCTGTCGGATTGGGCTTGGTCTTGACCGGGTTGGCCTGGAGATTGAGGTTGCGCTGGTGGCAGAGGTTTTGCTGGCTTGTCCGGTCGCAGGGTCCGTCCGCTCATGCCTGGGCCCGACGATGACTGTCCTCTTCTAGTCCTCTTGATTTCCATCAAAATCTGATTAGCCACCTCCATGGACATACCACAGAAGTCAGGTACGAAGTGAACGCAGTGAGCGTGACAAGTGAGACCACATTCTGAATCACCGTTAGTGAGGGTTGCAAATCGCAATAAAGGTCCACTTACCATTGCACTTCTTAGTTTGTTTCCGGCCGAGCGGCAGGACGTAACCGCAGTGACAGCACCAATTGGCACCCATGTTGGAAAAGTTCTCGAAGCGATGGGGAATGCGGTGGTTGAGCTTGGCCTCGTCTGGGTCGGTTTCGGCGTTGGATTGAGTGATGCACTTGGTAACAACCTTGGGGTAACACTTCTTGTGGCACGTGTAGTTGCAGTCCGAACATTGCATACCGGCGGCGTACTTGAGAAATTCACCACAGAGCGCACAACGCATGACGTTGTAGAACTGCTGCTGGACGAACTTGTGTCCGTATTGCTCGACGACATCTTCTTTGCGCTGACGAACGGCACCTTTACGACCAAGACCAAGATCGAAGGGTTGCTTGTTGCCGGTGTTTTTGGCGAAGGACATGGTAAGGTGGATGCGACCTACCGGCTCCAGCGAGAACCAGTCGTCAATCATAACGGGCCCTGTTTGAGGTTGGGGACCGCCCGGTCTCGCGCCAGCAGGGCCAGGACCTCCAGCACCGGCGCCTGCAAAGTTTTGCCCTGGTGGCGGCTGGAACTGCATGTCTGGCTGAATGCCGGCTGCAGCTCCTCCCATCTTGTCGGCAGCCACCCAGCCAGAGTTTGCGAGCTCTGTCTCGATCTTCTTTCGTCGCATTTCTTCAGCGATGTCTGATATGCGGACCCACAACATGCCGATGGGCAGAAGATGGTCGCCCGTCTTGTCGTATACGGTAATCTCGATCTCGTTCGCCTTGTCGATGGCGAAGTCGTGAACTTCGTCGACCCAGCGGTCGTTCCGTGTGGGTTTTGTGCGACCCTTGATCGAGTCTTCAACTTTGATGTTGACAAACGTTTCTGGGCCTCGACTAAAGCGCCCAGTAGCTGCGTGATCGACATCGGCGACGGCATGTACGCGGAGGGAGAGGTGGCCGCTCAAAGGTTTTCTTTGACTCGGAATGTTCAAACTGTCATCTGGGTATAATCAGCATGTGGCAGCAGACAGTGTTGTTGGAGCTTACCGTCGCCATCGGCGTCGCCCTCAATGTCGACGTGGAGATCCTCGTAACGCTTCAACGAGTGCTTCAACAGCTGGATCTTCTGGTTACTCTCGATGCGCTTGGCTTCTGCGTCTGCCTTGCTCTTGCGGTCGCCTTCCATTTGGTATAACCGCACCATCTTCTCGATTCCATCTTTGTACTGCTTTTCGACACTGAGCTTGAACTCGAGCTGGGACAGCATGAGCTGGATGCGGGGACCGAGATGCGGGGTATCATATTTGATGAGGTCTGCACGTGTTAGCCAAGTTGTTTAGGGAAGTTTCCAGCAGGTGTGTGTACCCAGTTTGCTGTAGTTCGGTCGCTTGTTGGGCGCGCCGGGAGCTGGCGGGGCATATGGCGCGCGAGGAGGCTGCAGAGCTTGCCCTCCGCTAAGCTGGCTATACTGGCTTTCAGGGCCGCCATAGGCTCCCTGTTCTTGCACATACCCGTTCCAGCCATCTTTCGGGGGAGGAGTCAGAGGGTTATTGGGGCCGCGGCCTGGTTGCAAACTCATGTTCTCCATGCCTGTAGAGGTTCTCTGCACGTCCAGGTCCCGCAGCTTCGACTCAAAGTAGTCAATGTTCCGGCGGCCGTCCTTGATCTGTCCATCGAGGCGGGAAAGCACAGCCGGGTTATTGGTCGACTGGCGCATGGCATTGGCGGCGTTGATGAGGGCCCTTTCACGGTCGATTTTGCGTTGCACATTGGCAACGGTCTCGTCGACGTTCGCCATGGCGGCGGTCGTCTAGGGCAGGCGGGCGCGGAGGGCGTCAGGAGATTTCTTCACCGACAGAGGCGACGGCGTGACAACGTGCCCAGCGGTGGTGGGCTACGAGGGATGCGTCGGCGCTCGGGCAGGCAGCCGTGACGTAAGCAGCTTCTGCGCGCAAGCAACAGCCGGTCCAACGCGTCGTCGGCGGCGGCGGCAGGGAGGTCGCGTAGGTGAGGTTGGCGGGCGACAATGGCGGAGTCGTCGTGCTGTGGTGATGTCGTTGGGCGAACAGCGATTTAGCTCACGCATAGGGTGGCTTAGCGGAGCCCCACTTTCCCCCTCTTCGTCGAGTGGCGTCGGGAAAGGGTTAAGTGCCGCTGTCTATCAAAAGCCGCGGGTGCTGTTTGGCGTCGTCGGGCGCGAGTACGAGACAGCAGAGGTGATGACGGCGACTGTCTGGGCGGCCGTGGCTGTTGGTGGGGAAAAGACTAACAAGCAGGCAGCATGGCGGGGTGAACACTCAACACCCGTCTCACAAGGGTTCCATGGAATCAGGCTTATTGTCCTGCTTCAGTCATAACACTCTGCATTCTCGCATCTTCTCGACCACATCCCGAATTCTTATCTTTGTTGAAGGCAGGTGCGCATGACGCCCGCCCGATTGGGCACCGACGCCTTGACATGTGCGACCTGATCTGACTGTGCGAGGCTTATTCTCACCCAAAACTTCCTCCATCACTCCTTGCACAACTCTCTGAAACCTTCATCACACCGTCCACCACGTCTTGCGCGTCAAGAATTGACAGCACCGATGTCGGTAGGCATGTCTCCGTCGATTGCATAATACGGGCTTCATCGACTGCTACCCCATCAGTTCGCTCACGCCAAGTACGCGTCGTACTTACTTATGCGGATCCTAGCTCGATACGTGCGCGAGATGTTCGACACATTGCTTTTCCCGCACTCAGAGAATGTGCATAATCGCGTTGATCTACAGCTACTGTCGACCGGTCCTGTCGCTAGCCAGTGCAGCAATAGTACCTAGATATGATGGAGTAACCGGGGTTGGTCCTTCACCTAGCATTAGAATGGAATCAGGGCAGATAAAACCGTACCTCTGTGTGAGTGGTAACGCCCAAGATTTCTCTGGTGTTTTCTTTTCCAGTACCAGCTCTGTCTCCGCAACATGCATCAAGCTGCGAGCTAGTAGTAGAGAAGAACGGTGCTTGTCGTCTCCTACACCAGCCTTCCATCTCGCATGATGCAGCTTTTCTGGCCGCATGGAAATTGCTCGTTGGGAACGTCAATTATGGGCGCCGTTTTGCTGCTCTTAGGCACTATCGCGTACGGCTGTGTCAAGTTCATACGTTCAAGACGATCGAAAGAACTCCTCACGTTGCTGGGTCTCTCTTATATAAGGGATTTACGAATGTGAGTATCATAGAGTATCTGACAAGATACCACTACCGAGCGGCTATATATGCCCTGTAGATACAGTAATTTGAGAGGTTCACGTAATGCCAGATATATACTGAGGCTGAGTTCTCAGAGAAGAGCGGCGTGACAATTTCCTCCTCCCAACGGGTTGTGCATCTGCAACCTTGCTTGACATGTTAGCCCCGGGATCTCGACTTGTCGATGTATGCAGGGGCTCTGACCAGCCACGTGCAATCCGTAGGGCCCCGCGACAACCGCATTTACCAAATTCGACCCATTTAGTTGTCGACTCGCTGGCAAGATATCGGGTATCCAGCCAGCAAGATAGAAGCACGAACATACCAAACCGGATGGCACACCAGACCTCGTCTCGGATTAGCTCGGCATCTACCTCTATGGTGAACCAGTTAGAGCTCTTAGCTGATTCGAATCCCTCGAGAGTGAGTCGACCCAGAGAATGCCGTTGTAAGGACCTAGAGTTCCAAGTTGTCTCTAAGCAAAGACCAAAAGGCAGTCCACCACAAAGCTTGTACAATCGGAACACCTCACCTTCTGTCTTTTGTAGATAACTTTTCCATCCACAGTGTTTGCACTCGTACTCTGGTCTGTCAGTGACCTCTGAGATATTTACTAGCTGACAGGCCTGCACGGTGACTTCAGCGAAGTAATCTAGTGGCTCTGCTTTTAGATCATTGTTCGTACTTGGTATCCCGAGTACTCTTTTGATCAGCCCAAAAGAGCATATGCAGGCTGATTCACTGCATGCCCTCATGATATCCACGCCGATATCCAGGTGTGTTCTCTCATAGTCGACAGGTATGTTGGCACCCTCCGATGCAAGCGCCAGCAAAGAATATATGCGATCACGGCGAATATGGCAATGCTGATTCGGTAATTCCTGCAGGATGGAGAACAGTGATCTGTCATGAAGCAATCGACGACCGCGCGCGAGGTCAATGTGGCGTGTGAACCTAGAGTCTAGACCGTCGTGTGTATACAATGGGATCTTGCCAATATATTTGAGCAAAGAACGATCCAGCTCCACATCCATGGCCAAGACGGAGAGACTGTTTGCGCGAGCAATTTCTTGTGTGATCCACGCCCTTGTCCAATATTCGTGTTGCGTGAGTAGACGCCAACCATATTCCACCTCTACTAGCGACTTCGCGACCTCAATCCACCAATTAGAGGTACTCTTGATCATATTGCATTGCTTCCAGACCTCAAAGAATCGGGCGATGGGTCTACTGCCACCTAACCAAATGATGACGTGTTTTGCAGCAGTATATATTGCACCCATTTGGGCCACTTGGTGATTGCGTTCGATCACGCTATGCTGGTCGATACATATGGCGTCTATCCAGAGGGCCTGACCCGGGTACTTCTTTCGTGCAACTTCTAGGAAGTTCATCAAGTTCCGCCGAACTAAGAAGAGTCTCCAGTTCAACAAGATTGGGCACACTGCATCCTCTCGGCCCCAGGTGTAAGACAGACAGGTATAATCGTCCTTAGTGGTAGTAGAGGTCAGGCTGCATTGTAGGTATCCTTCTGCCGACAAATACGGTCTTATCCTCAAGACGCGTATCGCTGGCTGATTGTAATCGAGGGGGGAATGCTGAAAATTCGAATTGTACGATCCGCTCGCCGGTAGTGGTTCGATGTTGAGCATTGCCGAGCAGCGTGGTTGGAGGAAGCTGTTGACAGCGAGGCTAATATTAAGTCGAGGCTGCCGCCGATGTTCAACCAGGTACTACTGGTGAGATTATCTTAGTAGCTTCACAAAGATGCTCGATGGTAAGGTCGGACGCGCTGGAGCTCATGAGCTGAGAATATACGCTTAATGAATGGCGAGATATATTCATAGGCAGCAACAGATGAGGGGGGTGTGATGTGGCAGACACGAGGCTATGCTCATGGCCGTTCCTCATTCGCCAACATCGTGTGGAAGAGCGCCTCTGACGCTGAGGGCGGAATGAGATGGTCGCTACAACCAAATCCAGGCTGGCATAGATGCTTGAGATATGTGTAGGATTATCATGCGAAGAATCGCCTGTACACTGAATCCCGCCATGTGGTTCCTATCAGGCTATGAATTCACGACTCGTGACGAAGCAGCGGCATCGCATGATCGCAGAGCACCTTGCTTGACTGAATCCAGAGAGCGTTCCTATAACTCGTAGGTGAGGATGCCAGTGATGTCGTGAAAAGTGGTGTTGATAGTAAGACGGACGTTCCGGGCGCCCCTTGTATATTTGAGCCTAGTTTCATCAATCGCCAGAATGTACACAATGCGTGTTGCCCTGACGTTTCTGGCCCCCATCTCAACAAACCATCCAGCATCAGCGCGTATGCAAACCCAGGTTTAGGTCCAGCCATGTCTAAAGACGGGTAGGTGTGAGCGAACGACTCGGCAGCCGCCTTGCAGGATCTGGGATCAGGGCAAGGCTGCATCCGGCTAGCGCCACATATTTACGTCATGGCAAGTCGCGTCAGTTAGGTACTGAGGAAAAGTCGCATGTCAAAACACCGACTTTTCACACTCCACCCAGGCACCATGGCCATTGCCATAGCATATAAACGCCACTGTTAGCATGACGTCGGCAATTCTGCTCTCATCCATTCATCGCACGATAATGCGTTCGTTGAAAAGCCGGGGTCACGCGCCTCACCTCAGATAGGATGAGTGCCCCGAGCCGTCCACGGGGATTGAGATGGTGATTCCATACGCGTCTCTTCCCCATGTTCTCTCCTTTCCCTATGAGCCCTTTCCATCCGCGCATCTTCATCACCAGCCGTCTCGAAGGATTCGTGCAGCGGTTGGAGTTGATAATTCAAGGTGCAAGCTCCACGAGTCGGGCCTTTTGCGGAGCATTTCGCAAGCGAGGCTCAACTAACGCAGGTTCGCCAGCGACTCGCGCTACCCGTACCCCCTACCGACAACGAGTCCATCAGCCGTCGCGGCTAGCAGCCTCACGGCACACTGTCCGAGCACAGATATACTATGCAGAAGCTAAGAAGAAGAGAGAGCCGATCTTTCCAGATGTTGCACTCCCGACATTGCGGTACCTCCCAGCATCGTGACAAGGAACATAACAAGATCACTGATGGATCCATCCTGCATTTCACGATGTATCAGAATGTCAATACCCCTACATGTTAACAGGGCCATTCCATGGACAGGGAGTACGCGAGCGTCTGCCGCGAAGTTTTCGACTCCTTCAGGGTCCATCTATAGCAGCCGTTCAGGAGCCAGGCACGTAACAGCACCCAGGACTATGGTCCAGCCGTGCCACCTTCACCGGTTCCACATCTTCAGGCGGCCCACGCCATATCTAACCTCGACACGGGAACGAACGTCGGGTGAGGGTCGCCGTACTTTCCCAGCAGCATCCTAGATTACGCCCCAGAAGCTATGCCAGAACGCGACAAAAACTTGTCTCGCGTGGGTCTTTCTGGCGGCTTGTGCACGACGCAACTGTCAAACTATTTGCTGGTCTGAGGGTGGGTACTAGGGAAACCCGGAAGATCAACGATAACAGGTTGATATGCGTCCAATTCTTTCCCTTCTTGAAACCAGGTCGGCTTGTTGCCTCCGCTTAAGTCTGCTTCACAACTGATCGCAATGTCCTAAAGCATATGCGTCTTTGCATCGCATTCTGATGTGTTTCCACATGTTCCCTCCTTAGTCCTTCTTTTTGAGCCTTTTTGTATACTTTATCCCTTCATCCCTCACCCCGCGCTCTGGGAAGTCGTGGCTGTCAGAGTATAGGTACCGACATGACTTACTACGGCGACAACGCTCCTGAGCTTGCTGCTTCAGTCATCGCGCTGGCAGTCATTGCTTACATTCTTTTCGGACTGCGAGTCTATACAAGACTACACAACAATGCTTGGGGCTTGGATGACTGGAGCATGACAGCTGCAACTGTGAGCCAACCTCGAAGACTTCATACAGGACAGCTCAACTGACGGTGATGATATAGGTCCCCTTTACTGGCTTGACGATAGCATGCATTGGGGGCGCCTTCAGCGGAGTCGGAGTTCACGACGACAAACTCAGTACAGAAGAGAAAGTGAAAGGGATGGAGGTACGTTTGCACCGAATTCTAGCACTGTAATCTCTCCATGCTAAACCATGTAGTTCTTCTTTTTCTTCGAGGTCTTCTACTGTGCAGCAATCATCCCCATCAAGATGAGCATCTCGTTCATGCTCATCCGCATCGCATCCCGGAGAAAAGCCTACATCTACAGCTTATACGCCGTCTCAGCCATGTTTATCGTCATGAACCTAATTGCGATGCTGTACATCATTTTCCAGTGCGCACCAGTGTCGTACGCTTGGGATACCTCGACCCCTGGTGGAAAGTGCAATCCAGCGCAGACACTCGCCGACATATACTACGCGACGACTGCAGTCAACATTGCGACGGATTGGTTCTGCGCACTCTTACCCATACCGCTGCTCTGGAACGTACAGTTGAACCGTAATGCTAAGCTTTCGGTCGGCGTGATTCTCGGTCTCGGTGCATTGTAAGTTTCGCTTATCTCACGGGAACCAGATCACCATCTAATACACCACAGGGCAAGTCTTTCAGCATGCATTCGTCTTGTCTACACTGTTAATCTAACCAATGCGACCGACTACCTTCGTAAGTCTCCCTCGCTTTCTGCGACCACCGGACAAACATACTGATCTTTCCTGCAGACGGTGTATCTAAGGTGATCCTCTGGGGTTACGCTGAAAATGGTGTTGGCATGATCGTAGGATGCGTCGCCACACTCCGTCCTCTCCTCCAACGCGTACTCAAACTCGGAAGCAGCGGTAGCTCACATCCTCACCACACCCCCGCAGCAGGCTATGCGAAACGACCGGTCATAAAGAGTCGTTTGAGTGGAAGAGACGAAGAGTGGGTTGCCCTGGAAGATGGCCAGATGGTCAACATGGTGCATGGGCAAGGGAGTACTGGGAGCGAAGAATACATCCTGCCCGTGAAAGGCGGCGGTATACAGGTCACTAGAAGCGTGGAGCAACGATCCAGCGCCCTGAAAGACTAGGGGTACAGCACCCGGGTAAGCGCAAACTAAAGCCAGTCACGAAAGCCACAATACATTATAGAACTACGAAATAAAACGATCAGAACCAATAGAGACATCCAACCACATCCTTCATTAGATTAAAAGTCAAGCACGTCCTCGTATCATCCTTCAATGTACAGAGACGCCTGCACACGCGCACAGAAGACCACACAAGCCCAGACTGCGGCCTATGGAGCCGATTGATCGTACCGCGCAGCATCGCATGATCGCGAAAGCGAAAACAAGGGATCCACACGAATCAGGCGATCCTCCTCAATCTCCTGACTCGGCAGCCGATCAATTTCCCTGTCCAAAGGTAACTCCAAAAAACAAACGTTGCCATGTGCCGCCTCACACTACGGCAATGCCGAACGCGTTTGTCGCGTAGCTCAACGTTCGACGCCGCTCAGCCCCTAAATATTGTGGCCGAACGACAATGCGGCTGACCTTCGGGGAAATTGAGGAGCGGGCGCCATGGGCGTCGCCTGCGGAACTTGTGACAAGCTTGGGCCACGGGTGTTACGGAAGAGCGGCACCGGGGCTCGTCTTTTCCCAGGCGTGTGAGCAGTGAGCTTACGACTCAACCCATCCAAGCAAAATATTGAATATCTACAAAGGACGATAGAAATAACGGACTATAAGTCAACATTACATTCAGGTCTTGCCAGTATTCGTCTGAATACTCATGTAGACTACAAGGCACCTGTTCAGTTCCTTCTTTTCCCGACAGCGGCGGTGCCCAGGTGTGCCCGCGCCGATGTGATCGACAATTGTCGTAGGAATCGCCTATTTTGCATATTCTGGGAATAGTTGTTCGTACAAAGGGGGCGCTCCGATTGTGCAGCAATTCGCAGGAGCTGTGTGATGCATCGCTTAGTCCGAAGTGAAGGTGTCTGAGGAGGGTGCAAGTGGTGTACCCACTCGCCAGGCCCCACGATGTCTCGTGTCAGCGTTGGTGCATACACTCACGTTGAAGTACTGTACATGAGCTGCACGGATTTGATTCTTGGTTCACAACATACTCTTAATAGAGAGGGGGATGTAGTCGTGTTTGTCTTACCGAATGCCTTAATGCTTGGTTGGCTGAGTAGCAATGATTCTGACCATCGCGGCATGCAGTCAGCAATCCTCCGATCTGCAATACGCCTTGCCAACGCCTTGATTATCCGCGACATATGTCGTAGATATAAAGATGACTTGAAAGTCAATGCTCATGTCGATAGTTGATTGTCTGACAGTGGAAGCATTGCCATCATGACAGACTTCGAAAAGGCGTACGAAAAAGCGATTGAAGACAAAATTCTTCCCGGATATGCTCTTCTCGCAGGCGACAAGAACGGTCCGTAACCATCCTTGGCACAAGGCAACAGCCATCTAACGGTAAAGCAGGCAACACCCTGTACTCTGGAGCGAAAGGTGTTCAGTCGCTTGCGGAAGGCTCGACACGCCCTTTCCAACTTGATACAATATGCGGGATCGCATCAATGACGAAGCTCATGACTGCAGTTGCAGCCCTGAGGTGCGTCGAGGAAGGACTAATCACGCTTGACGAAGACGTGGCCAAATACTTGCCTAGTATTGGAAAGTACGGCATCATGGCGAGCTTCGACGAGGAGAAAAATGAGGCGGTCACTGTGCCTAACACCACGCCGATCACCTTGAGGCAAGCGTTGTACCAATGTACTAGCTGATAGAAGACTGACCGAATCAGGATGCTTCTGAGTCACACAAATGGCCATGAGTATGACTGGCTCAACCCTGATCTCACGAAGTGGCGTGCAAGCCGCGGAGAGACCCCGTCGTGTGGACCGACTGTTGAAGAGAAACACACTCTACCGCTTCTGTACGAGCCAGGCAACAGCTTCAAATATGGCCCTGGATCAGACTGGGCAGGTAAGCTCATCGAGAAAGTGTCAGGAAAGAGACTTGATGCTGTCGTGAAGGAGAAGATTTGGGATCCTCTTGGCATAGACGACATCAGCTTTTTCCCAAAGGAGAGATCCGATATGAAAGATCGCATGGCGAACATCAGCACGCTGAATGAGCAGGGTGAAGGACCGGCGGTAGATGCTGGCGGGTTCGACGTCTTCGTCGATGCCACAGACTGTCTGGGAGGTGTGGGTGCTTTCGCGAGCGCAGAGGCCTACTTTACCTTTCTCCAATCCGTCTTGAAGCACGACCCCAAACTATTGAAAGAGAACTCTTGGAATGAACTTTTCAAACCGCAGCTCGATGAGGGGTGCAAGAAGGAGCTCAACGACTACCTCAAGTCCTCACCTCTGCATACGCAGCTTCTGGGTATGGGTTTGCCTATGAATATCGAGAAGCAATGGTCGTTTGCTGGAATGATCGCAGAGCAAGGTCAGGAAGGACGTATGAATGCCGGGACATTCTTCTGGGGCGGCGTTCCTAGTTTGACTTGGTATCTCGACTTCGAAGCTGGGGTCTGCGGTGTGGCGTTCTGCCAGGTTATCCCGCCGATGAGCCCGCGCATATTGGAACTGCATGGATTGTTTCAGAGGGCAATGCATGAGAAGGTGGCGGCCTGATGACTTGAAGTATGTTGGATGAGGGGTTGAGTGGCACAATGCAGACTGTCGGGCATATCGCGAAGGCAATGGATGGTCTGTGCGCTTATCGATAGCCAGTAAGCCACGCATGTCACTTTCCGAGCTAGTCCGAAGGACTCCATCCATCTTTTTTCTACGAATCCCCCTTCAGCAGATTGGACATCGAACTTTCAGTCTGTAGTGACATCAGTATCATATCTTATTAATTCCAAGATTGGTATGATGCATAAATCGAGACGTACCCCACATTACGGACTCAATTGGGGCACGGTCCTGCCAAGCGCTTGCTGCCTATTGCCTGCCTTACTGCCTACTACTGGCTAGAATTGCACTCAGTATGCGGCAGTGCAATTCCATCACTATATAGTCTAACAAGCTCGCCTCGAAATATATCGAGCGACCAAAATCACGTTCCTAGTGGTTTCTTTTACCAGCTTTTGCGACCACTACTGAAGCCTCTCGTCACACGCCCTTTCTTCAGCCAGTCTTTCGAACCCACCACGTTTCCACTTTCCTCATTCAGGACAGTTGCGCCAGACTTAGCCATGGCGATGTCGTCCGGTAGTGTGTTTGGAGCGACGCTCAAGACCATCACGACCACCAAGCTCGAAGAGCTTGCGAAGCAGCGCGCAGTATTTGAAGAAGAGTATGCTGCACTCATCGCCGCCGCAAAAGCCGAAGCAGACCCACTGAAGCGCGTATGTCTTCTTCTCGATGGCTCGAAAACCTGTTTGGGCTTCCAGACGGAGAAGAAAACCAAGGATGGGCGAGTCGGCCGAGTTATCAGCGGAACATCCAGGAACCTTCGTCTCGAGACTGATCTCAAGAACCTCGATCGCTTCGTTGAACAGGCCCGCTTTGATCCCTCTGTTTCAAACAAAGTCCTCTCAGACTGGGAAAAGACACTCGTGCGGTATCTTTCCGTTCAGTCGACCAAGTACCAGTATGCCGATCTCTACGGCAAGCTCGTCACTGAATGGCTTTCCTCTGAGAAGCCTGCAACAGACGATGGCGATATCGAAATGGGCGAGAGCTTCGAAGAAGTACCTGGTGCCAAGAAACTGGCCTCCCGCGCCGAGTGGGAGAAGAATGTCTTCCAGGCGGCTGAAGTAGACGAGCAAGCACTAAGGTCGTACCTTGATGAGTTGTTCCAGACAAGCAAGAAAGACAGCTCCGCTGCTATTCGCGAGCTACGCAAGACAGTGGAAAACTTTGAGGCTAATCTCAACTATTCGACACCTTTCGATCCTCATAGCCTTCGCTCGACCATTGAAGGTCTTCTGAATTCTGATCTTCTATCGAACGAGAAGCGAGAAGCGCTCAGAGACTTTCTCGGTAACAGTAAGTACCCATTCTATGTGGAAATAGCTGGTAGCTAATAATACCGTAGATGTAATACTCGCAGAACTGTGCGACATTCTCAACGTGCGCATGGCATCTCTCGATCGCTGGTCTTGGGGACCGCATGTTCTACTAGAGCAGCGAAGGAAGATCAATGGTGACTTCTCTATCCACTTCGATCCGGACCTTCTTCAGGCGATCTTCCTCCATTACGTCGGTATGAAATGGTAAGTCGACTGTTACCGCAAGACATGAAACAACGGGTTCTGACTGAATGACGTGTAGGTCTGTCTTCTTCAAGTCCGCATTCTTGGCCATGCACAAGCACCAAGCTTGGCCGAGAAACACCACAGAGGTCCCGAAAGTCGACCATCTACGCCGATCGTACTTCCTGGGCGACAAAGGCACAGATACCAAGTCCAGTGTCGAGAAGAAGCGGATGCGCACACACCACAACCGATATTTCGCCCACCAGCTACTGGACTATGATGCACAGCAAATCGAGGCACAAGATGGTGAAGAGGAGGCCGAGTATGGGGACTACGTCGACAAGAAGCGCAAACCCAACGTGCAACGGGAAATGGCTGACAATCAAATGCAATACCATTTCAACACGATGCAACAGCCGAGCGGAGGAAGGGCAGTTCAACAATCCAGTGGGGGAAGGACGAAGCAGACAGCAAGAACGGCTGCTGGCTCTGGCTTGTTTGGAGCCGCTGCGCCTAATCAGCGTACTGGTGGCGGCTTGTTTGGAGGGAACGCTCAAGCGGAGGTAGACGAAAACTTAGGGGACGACAGAGACGCGTGCGACTGGGAAGATGGGAAGCACAAACTTCAGTCGAAGAAGCCTATGGAAGCAAAGCAAGGCCTACTTCATCTCTTGTCCACTGAGATCGTTCTGAACACAAGACTGCACGGAGAACTGACCTGCTTCTCTACGACTTTTGACTCGTGGAATTCACTGCTGCCACATCAGACCATCTATACAGTCCTAGACTTCCTTGGTGTCTCGGATAGGTGGAAGAGATTCTTCGAGCGATACCTGCAGGCACCTCTGAAGTTCAATGATGACCCATCCGCTGAGCCGCGTTCACGCCGTCGAGGTATGCCAGGCTCCCATGCTCTGAGCGATACTTTGGGGGAGGCTGTGCTGTTCTGTTTGGATTACGCGGCGAACCAAGCCGCCAGCGGGCCAGATCTGTACCGTCTTGGTGACAACGTCTGGTTCTGGCACAGGGACTACAATACGTGTACCAAAGCCTGGGCAAGTATCATCAGATTCGCGGAAGTTACGGGAACCAAGGTCAGTCTCCTAATGAACTCTACTTACGTTGATTCAACTGACGACAATTCTAGCTTGACCACAAGAAGACAGGCAGTGTTCGCATCTCACGCGACTCCGATGCTAAGATTGACGATCGACTACCGGAAGGTGAAATTCGATGGGGATTCTTGCAGCTCGATCCGAAGAGTGGTCAGTTCAAGATTGATCAGAAGATGGTCGACAGCCATGTGGAAGAGCTCCGCACGCAACTGCAAGGCAAGCTGAAAAGCGTCATCGACTATATCCAGGTCTGGGTAGGTACTGCAATCTCCTTGGTCTTATCTCACAGTATCTAACCACCGGAAACAGAACTCATATGCGGCTACGTTCTTCAGTTCCAATTTCGGGACCGCCTCCAACTGCTTCGGCCGCGAACATGTCGACATGATGCTCGCCACCCATCGTCATATCCAGGATAGCATTTTTCCCGATGGTAGCATCGTACAACATCTCAAGACGATTATCAAAGAGCGCTTCTTTGTTGAAGATGTGCCAGACGGGTTTCTCTTCTTCCCAGTCGAGCTTGGGGGACTTGATCTGAAGTCTCCATTTGTTGGACCCTTGCAAATCCGAGACTCAGTCAAAGAGAACCCGTACGATCTGTTGGATGAATACGAGGAGAGCTTGCACGATGATTATGTCAACATCAAACGCGCATTCGACAAAGGTACCCGGCATAACGTGCGCCGCAATTTCCAGGATGCGGACTGGAAGCCTGAAGACCCCAACACATTCCTACCCTTTGAGGAGTTTACCAAGTACTCTGAGACGTTTTCTGCCATGGGTAAAGCGAATTTGACGGAAGTTTATAAGGAGCTGCTCGAGCGCCCGAAAGAGAAGCCCATCGACGACAGTGAACAGGTCCTGCAGGCGCTGGAGCAACTCGAGGGTCAGAGCAACTTACGTGGCATCACCGCAGACTGGTATACTATGGATGCCTACTGGAAGTGGATCGCACAAATGTACGGCCCGGACATGATTGGTAAATTCGGTGGCCTCAATGTCGTTGACTTCGGACTGCTGCCGATCGGTATGGTATCCATGTTTCGGCAGAGGCGTACCAAGTGGCAGGGTTAAGCGTAGATGAAGCACCAGGGCTGTTCACGACTCCTTACGTATGTAGCACAATGAAATCATTTGGTAGACACATCAATCACGCGACGAACCACACTGACTCGTCGATCTCGTGCAAGGCTGACGTGCGTCTGGTACCGCGCCCTAGCGTCTTTCCCCGCACCCGCTCCTCGGGGATGACCCCGACACTCGACCTCCTTCTTATATAACTTACACAACGTTACACTACTTCAAGCTTCGTGTTTACTGAAGTGCATTGCCCGCGCAACGTCCATGTTTATGTCCTAGCCTCTTAGTACACCTTGTACCCGCGAACATATTGGATGCCGACAATACCCAGCTAACTCCCTATCAACGTCGTAAAATCGACTAGCAGTAAGTTGCATCTCCTCAGTCCAGTTTTTACCAAGTTTTCGGTACTCGACTACGCATTGTAATGCTTATTTGCACGACAGAGACCCCTTGGTGTTTTCGTCGTATCTGACCCAGCTATCAGTATCATCGCCGAAGCCTTCTGCAATAAATAACAGCCCAAGAGGGCGGTGAGACATCGGATAGACCTGGAAAACAAGGAGTGCGCTCCCAATCATGTAGCAAAGCTTATCGTACACAGTATGCTGTAGAGACGTGCCACGGCTCTTGTTCGGCGGAATAAGACACCCCCACAACGCCTCACGTATCCCCACGTCTCCATTGATGCCCTCGAAAGTCTCAACAGGAACTGCGCGACCTTTCATTGCCCAGTGGGAAAGCACTACGAGTTCTCTAGACTGACGCTATTGCGCGACTACCCGACAAGCGGCGACACTGTGTCGGCAGTAACCCAGATGGCGTTCATGCAAGCTGTCAACAAGGAACCAACCAGCCAAAGGCGACTTTCCGATGGCCCCAACGATGCGCATCACTGAGCAATGATATAGGGTTGTGGGATTGTTAGTCGACGCTAGCAAATGACGTTATCGGCAGGCCTCTCGGCACCACCTCAAGACAAGGAAAGTGCCATGATGCGCGAAGGAATTAGCGAACCATCTCATCCTCAACGAGCCAAAATCCCCACGCCTTGCATCACTCAACAAGGACCATTGATCCAACTTATGGGGTGTACGATTCAATAAATAAAACGTTGATTGCCCTTTACCCGCAAACTTTGACTTTTCATCTGCCCCTCCTTTGGAAAATTCCAGACCATGTCTGTCATTGACACTACCAAGGACCTTTCGGCACTTTTCACGAAACAGGTCCAAATTACCCCGGATCTGATTGCATTGGAAGACGACAAGCATACATACACTTATCAAGAGCTCCACGACAAAGTCTCTGCCCTCGCCGACCGGCTGCGGGGTCATGGCGTCGGCCGTGACAGCTTGGTTGGTGTC